CATTCAATGGTAAAGATTCAGGGCCACAGAGGAGACCATGCAGGAGCAGCCAAAAGCTAGGAAGGAGCTCAAGAGAGTGCTGGGTCCACAGGCAAGTGGTGTCAAGAGGGATGAACAATGAACCACATCTGTTAGGTCAGGATGGAATCTGAGAATTGCCCCTGGATTAGCAACCCGGGGGCCACTGGCCATCTTCTCCAGGACAGTTTTGTGGAATGTGGCATAGGTGATTTGGGTACAGCTGTCTGCGGAGCCGGGAAGGAGCCCCTGCCACTGTTAAAACAATGGTTCCCTGGGGAGCAGTGCTTCTCCAGGTAACCCAGATTCTCCCAAGCTTCCACTGCAGCAAGATTCCCTGGTTCTTGATTGACGGATAAACAACATCATGGAAACTACTACTGCTATTACTACGGAAATCCACTGATTTCCACGAGGAAGCTGGAATTGTTTGGAAGTCCAGTTCTTCAAGATCTTCTGTTTTCCTTTTTCATCTGTCAAAGCAGTGCCATAAGTACAGAGTAGTCACGTGTGGAGTGGGAGGGAACAAACGGGAGGAGAGCTAGGAAAAGCATGGTCACAGAAAGCCTTTCTAGGAGTTTTCTGCACAGTGAGCAGAGAAGGGGGCAGGAGGTGGAGGAGGTGGAGACATTGGGGTCTTCTAGGTGGGCAGGAGGTGGGCAGGAGGTGGGCAGGAGATGAAGGCATGGGGACTTCTAGGTGGGCAGCAGGTAGAGGCATGGGGACTTCTAGGTGGGCAGGAGGTGGGCAGGAGGTGGAGGCATGGGGACTTCTAGGTTGGCGCGATCACAGTGTATTGGTGGTGGGAGCAAAGGACACACAAGCAAGATGAAACAAGAGCTGGACACCAAGCAGAGGGTGGCCGCATCTGGCCAAGGGCTTCATCTGCCAAGTGTAGGGAGTACAAGTCAAGAGGCCACTACAAGCTGGCCCTGCAGATAAGGCATGTGGGAGGGAGACTGATAAGAACTACCAGGTTTCTTGTTCTCCTTTTTACTGCCAGGCCCCAAGGGGTAGACTCAAAGGTTTCTTCTAGTAATCAGGACCCTGCCTGGGCGGGGCCAGGAGTTGTTGCCACTGGGCTGGGCTGGCCTGGGCTGGGTCCCGCCCTCTTCCTCCTGAGCTCCTACAGCCTGGAGCTCGACAGAGCTCAGCTCAGTCTCGGACCCTGGCCAGCATGGTGGAGTTTGCCCCTCTGTCAGTGCCTTGGGAGCGCAGGATACAGACGTTCGCAGTCCTACAGTGGGTCTTCTCCTTCTTGGCCCTGGGTAAGGCTGGCTGGGTAAGACTGGACCTATGGGCTTCTGGGGGGGCAGAGCAGCCATGCCAAGTGCATACAGGACATTGGGGGTGGCAAAATTGTAGAGGCTTTGCTGTGCAGAGAGTCCCAGCCCACATTCCTGGGTCTGCCTGAAGTCTTTGACATTGGGTAGGATCACCCATGGCTTTGTGCAGATTTAGGATTTCCTGAGCTGTGCTGTGGGCTCCTCCTTGGCCTGGGAAGAGGGCCTGCTACAGGCTGCTGAGGGTGAGGGAGCATCAGGGGATCTGGAACTGCGCCTTGGGTGATGGGTAGGATGGGTTTTCATCTCGCCTTTTGGAAAAGGGAGGCCGGGAGTGGGGGAGGGGAACAGGGAACAGAGTTGTCAGAAGGGGCTAACTGTGCTGCTCTGCAGGACCTGGTGCTGCCTCTGCACAGCGCAGACTTGGCACAGGCCTGGGCTGGCCTCCCACAGAGACAGAGTGCATGGCGCCCGGCTGCTGCAGGGAGCTTTTTCAAGGAGAATTTGGGATGGTGGATTGAGAAGGGTTGGCTGGGAATGTGGGGGAGCCTGCCTTCCTCTGGAGTTACCATCCTGGCTGCCAGGTAGACAGCTGTGCACATGTTTGTCTGTAGTGTGTGCTCCCTCTCCCTCTCCCTCTTCCCCTCCTTCTGCTGCTCTCTCCTCCTCCCCGTTTCAACTTCCGAAAAATTTTTCCTTTGAAGGATTCATCCTTGCAGAGCAAGCCCTCTGGGACTCTGCCCCAACTATCCTTTCTAACTGACCTAACTGATCTCCATCCCAAGGGTTGTGAGTTATTTTACTTTGTATTTTATTAGTAGTAGTAGTAGTATTTTATTTAATTTTTGAGACAGGGTCTCACCGTATAGCTCAGGCTAGCTTTGAACTCACCATGTAGCCCAGGCTGGTCTCAAACGCAACAATCCAAGTATGAGGATTACAGGTGTCCATCATCACACCCAGCTGTACTTTTTACATATGGATGGTTTGTCTCCATGATGCTGGTGAATGAAAACAAATGCCCTAAAGGCCCAGGCTGCAGATTATAGGCCTGGGCTTCTGCTCTGGCTAGAGGAGGAAAAGCTGAGGCAGCAGAGAGGCAGGGTTGTGCAGAGGAGGTGTAGGCTGTGGAGGAATCACAGAGAGGAGGCCGGGGCCTAGTCAAGTCAGAGGGCAGTGGGGCCTGCAGCCAGGTGAGCTGTGACCAAGGGGTCACTGGGAGGTGCAACAGAGTGCTTAGCCTGGCGACCTGGAGGACAGGGGTATGGCCCACTGGCTTGCACGTGTCTACTGTGCTGGCCTGTGGCACCCGCCTGCATCCACTATTAGTTAGAGGAGGCTGGGAAGGCCAGGTACAAACCTAGAAGTCAAAGTAAACCCAGGTGGGGAGGACTACACAGAGGGCAGCTAAGAAAAGGGATCTGGGCCCCTTTGCGTTAAGAGTAGAGTTTCTCTTGTCCCTTGTTCCTTGTCCCAAGGGCAAAAGGAAGTGTCCCGGAGGCTTCCAGTAGGGTGACAGGGTTCAAGCTAGTGTTAAAGGTCCTGGTGCCTGCAGCACAGGTGTCTGCTGTGTTTGGCGTGTGGGAGAACAGAGCGAGACAAAGGCGCTCATGGTCTAGTGAGGGCCCACAGGTTGCTATTTTTGTACAGTCCAAGTCTAAGGTGGTTTTCCTATTTTTTTTTTAATTTTAGGGAAGGGTCTACTGGGTATTCAGGGTCTGGATTGAGGACTCGTAGTAATCCACCTGTTTACAGCCTCCCAGGAGCTGGGATTGCAGGCACATGCCACCTCGCCCATTCTCAATTGCCGTCTCAGCACGCCCGGGGGTGGAGCCGGCCTGGCAGGCCCGGCTATCGAACCCCAGCCCCTGCACATGCTTGCAGGCACTTTAATCCACTGAGCTATTAGGCCGACGTGGTTTTCCTAGTCCTAAAAAGGTGGTTTTCCTAGTCCTAAAAAGGTGTTTTTTTTAAAAATCTTTTATTTATTCATTTGGTACAGGGTCGCAGTGAGCAACTCAAATTCGTAGTGATCGTCCTAGCTCAACCTTCCATCACTGGGATTACAGGTGTGAACCACCATGCCCAGTTTTGGTGGCCAACATGGCATGTGGTACCAGGGAGCAAACCTGGGTCCTTGCATTTGCCAGGCAGGTACTTAGACCACTGAGCTATCTCCCTAGCCCCAAAAGGTTGTTTTAAATGGCTTCTGAAGTACCCACCTACACAGTATGCTTCAATTGGAGCTGCAAAGGCTAGAATGTTTGCTGCTTGGACCCTTAAGGAAAACCCTTGGTACAGGGGCTGGCAGGGGTGGAGGGAAGGATCTCTAAAGATCCAAAAGCTATTTAGGAGCTGGGAATCCTTGGGTACCTGCAGCAAGGTGTTAGTGGAGAGGAAGATGTGGGCAGCTTGATGCCTGCGTCTCATCTGCCTCTGGTGGGGGCCCTCACTAGCACTTAGAGAAGGCCTGGGGGTGCGGGAAGCAGAGGCTTGTTGAGGGGCCTTAGCCAATCGGCTATACCCCCCTCTGGGCCTCCTAAAGCAGGCTTTTAAGTGTTTCTCTTCAGGTCTGTATGTGACAGAGGGTGTCTCTCTTACATTCCTGAAACACCTGCTCAGGGTTTACCTGCTGACAGGAGCTCAATGAGGCTGGGGTCAGAGCAGCGTGGGGACAGCAGCGTGTGGGCGTGTTTCCGGCCACATCCCCAGGTTTAAAATAAAATACGAATATATTTTAAGTAATGGATAGTAAGCACCCTCTGTTTCTTAACATTTTTTTTTCTAACTACAAAAGTAACATGTACTATAACACATTCAAACACAGCGAATGTCCCTAAAGTAAGACTTTCCAAGTAGCCACTACTAACAATTTCTAGGGCCAGCCAGATAGCTTGGGATTAAAGTGCCTGCTTAGGCAGACACAGGAACTGGGGTTTGAGCCTCAGTGTGCCATGCCAGCCCCATGCCGGGGTGCACTGAGACTGGATTGGGATGGGGCTTGGTGGCACACACTTGTAATCTCAGCGCTTGGGAGGCTGAAAACAGGAGAATCACAAGTCCGATCTGTGTAGTGAGACCCTGTAGATCTTGTACTAAATACATTAAAAAAAAATTCTGCTCTCTAGAGCTGATTTTCTTCAGCTGAGAGCCACCTGTAGACTTTTGGTTTTACGCAAGGGGAGTGAGTCTTAGCTGGGGTTACTACTTTTTTTTTTTTTACATTAAACATGTATTTTTCTGTTATATATATGTTTGTATTTTATTTTAAACACAAAATGTAAAAAAAAATAAACAGTTTCAAAACAGTAGGAGAAACTAGTAGGAGAATAATAATAATCAACACGCTGCACATTGTTATATTTACAGTAATATTCAGAGTACAAGCTAGAGGCAGGAAACACTGTTCAGCCCCTCAGTGATCCAAGAGAAATCTTCTGTATAACTATCTTAACTGTCTTGTTTCTTCCCTTTTCCCTTCCTTGCCCCTTTCTCCCATCACAGTTTTTCTTTCCTTTTGAACAGTTTCTTCCCTGTCCACAGCATCTATTGTACATTTTGCATTTTGTTTACTCTTTCAGTTTCTCACACTAGTCACGCAATACAATGCTTGCACACATGGGTCTGATTTATTTTACTTATGAGTGTGGTTTCGACTTACATCCCTTCACCTATGAGTCTCAAGTTTATCTTTCTTCATGGCTGAGATATATATAGATAGATAGAAAGATAGATAGATAGATAGATAGATAGATAGATAGATAGATAGATAGATATCACATCTTTTTATTCATTCCTTGGTTGATGGGCATTTGGGTTGTTTCCAAGATTTAGCTATTATAAATTGTGCTGCTATAGACATAAGTGCACATATATTATTGTGTTATGATGTTTTTAATTCTTCTGGGAAGAAACCCAGAGGGGAATAGCTGGGTCAAGTAGGATGTCTAATCCTATTCTTTAAAAGAATTTCACTGTCCTGCTTCAAGGTTGTATATGGTTAGATTTCTGGACTTATATGTAAACATAAGAATTATATAATTCTTTATGCCTATTTTTTAAAATGTATTTTAATTTTTAAATGTTTTTTCATCATTTTCTGTAGGGACTTAAAGTTCAACATATTAATACTTGATGAAAAATACCTGTTCATGTTATGCCTAAGATGTTTGATATTCAGACAGATAGTGAGCTTAAGCTTAACAGCCTAGGTTGTATGGTAATAACAATAAGCTTGTCTTCTGGAGGGTTAACAACCTAAGTTTGCAGACCAAA